TCGGCCATTTATTGTTTATAAACTATCTCTCGCTAAAAGGGATTTAAAGTGACGGTTGTTGAAAAGATAAATTCAGGTTACTTAATGGCGCAGCTTTTCTCCTCTAATTATTTTTATCTAATCACATGCTTTATTAAATCCCCAAGAGTCATGGTGGTTCGTGTACAGAGGGTTCGCAGGGAGCTTTGAGAGACTGCTAACTGGAGCGTGGCATCTGTTACTGTTTTACAAACTAAATACTGTAAAAACAACATGAGAATTTTCAAGGGTCAGACTGGGCTAGCCAAATGTAAGCACTCCCTCCCTCCAGGGAGGACATTTTTTATCTCCTCAGTGATTTGCATTGAATATTTTTTAAATAAAATTATTGATTTAAATTAGTTTCAAGTCTACAGCGCATTGGTTAGACATCTTAATGTTCAAAAGCCGATCCCCCCAATTGCTCTCTCCCTCCCCAGGCCCTCCACCTGGCCATCATATAAATGCTGACTGCTTTCCCTATGCCGTGCTCCCCATCCCCATGACCAACTATCAGCGACTAATTTGTACTTCTTTAACCCTTCACCCCATTCTCCCAGCCCCTAACCCCCCTCCCCTCTGTCTGTCACCAATTTATCCACTATATTTGTGAGTCCGTTTTTGATTAGTTTGTTCTTTTTGTTCCTTAGATTTCACACATAAGTGAAATCATATGGTATTTATCTTTCTCTGTCTGACTTATTTTACTCGGCATAACGACCTCTAGGTCCATCCATGTCATTGCAAATGGTAGCTTTCATTTTTTTTTTAACGGCTGAGTGATATTCCATTGTATATATGAACCATAATTTCTTTATCCGATCATCTGTTGATGGGCATTTAGGTTGCTTCCATATCTTGGCTATTGTAAATTGTGCTGGATATTGGAGTGCATAGATCTTTACGAATTATTGTTCTGGTTTTCTTTGGATAAATACCCAGTGGTGCAATTGCTGGGTCAAAAGGCAGATCCATTTTTAATTTTTTGAGAAACCTCCATACTGTTTTCCATAGCAGCTGTACCAATTCGCAATCCCACCAACAATGCATTTAATATTTTTATTGTAACTTGCATTGTTTTTCCTTGCATTTGGATGATTCTACCTTCCCTCCATGTAATCTGCTTCCCACTGAGGCACGTGAAGAAACCTGCTCCACTAGATGACTCAGCATCCTCCTCCCATGCCCTGAACTTTTACAACTTCAGCCTCTTCTTCTCTTGACCAGGAAGGTTTGCTCTCTCTTCATTCCCTGGATCCTGATGCTCCTTCAAGGGCCACCACTTTCGTGAATTCTGTCATGACCCGCTAAGTGTGATCTCTCCCTCCTCTGAGCCTGTATTAGTTATACTGACTCATGTAAAAGAGATTATTCTGAAATGTCGAGGCTGAAGACAACAGTAAAAGTTCTCTCACACAGTTTCAGTGGGTCAGGAGTTTGAGAGCAGCTTAATCAGATGGTCCTTGCTCCAGACATCTCATGAGGTCAGAGTCAAGGTGTTGGCCAGGGCCGCAGGCCCCTGAGGACTTGCCTTGGGCTGGAGGACCTGCTTCAGAGAGGACTCAGATGGCAGCCAAGCCAGTGCTGGCTGTGGGCAAGAGGCCTCAGGTCCTCGCCATGGGGCCTTCTCCACAGGGCGGCTGGAGAGTCCTCACCATTTGACCATTTGTTTTCCTCAGAGCAAGTGACCCAGGAGAGAGCACAGGCGGAAGCTGTAGTGTTTTTTCCAATCTCGTCCTGGAAATGACACATTGTCATTTCTGCATTTTCCCTGTTGTGACACAGGTCAGTCCACTCATGTGCAGAAGGGTCCGGCACGAGACATGAAGCCCAGGAGGTGGGGGGTCACTGGGGACACGTTGGAGGCCGCAGACCACCGAGCCTGCTAATGTTTGCGGCATCTCTAACCGAGCTGACAATATTCTGCTCTATCTCACGATCATCTGTGACCCTCTCCTACCCTCTTTATTAGATCTTTATTTCCTTTAGAGGTTAGACTTGCTTTCTTATCTTTACATATTTAAATTTTTAGAGACATTGCATTCAATATATGTCACATTCAGTTGATAGGTTGGAACCACAGCCTCTCTCTTAATGGGTATAAATAAAGATGCACATATGAGAAAGAGGCAGACGAACAGACAGGAAAATCGATTTTGGCAGACAGATGGGGGTGGAGGGGCGGGGAGAGAGAGAAGGAGAGAGAGAGGAAAGAGAGTGAGCAAATGAGGTAGAGAGCACATCAAACTGCACATTTTGTCAGAATATATGAAAACATTTTTGCTAGTTTATAGAACTGAAGAACTAACTTACACTAGTTCAAATGTTCGGAGCACTGTGTCACAATATTCTACTTTATGATATATGTGAATGGCTTGCCACAGTTTTTCCTAAGACTCCTTCAACTATGCCTAATATTCTGTGAACCAGAGGGTCTGTGGATCACCCCTTTAATAAAACTGAGGAAGTCATTGCTTACAAGTAACTCTTCAGTAATGTCAAGTATAGCGGTTATAATTCCTTTTACATATGATTGAGAACTTTATGTAACCTTTGATTAACTGCTCTGTAACCTGGCTCACTGGGGTACAATCATTTTCTAGATTGACCAATTAACATTTATATATAATTTGAGCAAAGGGCACCAAGGAATGTCAGGAGGAACAAAGACCCACGAGGAGAGACGCTCTCTCGAGAATGTCACTCGCATGCACCTGCTCGTTCTCGGTCCCGAAAGCACCGGCACACGGCCGTCAGGCGCCCTCGTACCTCGCGTCCAGGTTACTGAGACGGCCTCCAAGTGGTTTTCACCATTTCCAGCTTCTTCCCTACAAACTTTCCTCGGAATTAAACCTGCTAAACATCACTGCCTTCCCATGCTTGGGGCCGTTCGGTGAACCCCGTAGGTTACTGAGACGGCCTCCAAGTGGTTTTCACCACTTCCAGCTTCTTCCCTCCAAACTTTCCTCGGAATTAAACGTGCTAAACATCATCCCTTCCCATGCTTGGGGCCGTTCGGTGAACCCCATGACCTCAGGCCGTGCACTAGGTCGGTCTCCTAGTCCTCCTATTCCAAAGGGGAGCGTGTCATCAATAAAGTAGAAGAGTTGATGCTCTCTGGATCGGCTAAATGGTCTAAGTTATTTCAGATCATATTTTAACAGAAGCCAAAACTATAAACACGTACTGTTGTCCACATGCGAAAGAGGATCCTTCTAGTCTTCCTTCCTATAGGGCTGGAGAAGACCAGTGTCTGCTCACCACGCTCTCTAGCGTCTCCCTGGGACACCGTGGCACTAGTTCATGTGCTGGCCGGTTTGCTTTAAGTTTTTTATTTCTTCTACAGAGTAATCGCCAAGCTTTCTCTTTAACCTGGTTATATAGAGGAACATTTTTATAAATGTCCTAATAATTCCTCCCAAGTTTCCACGTGTTGGTAGCAGATTAGGGGTCTGTACAGGCTTAATCGACCATGCTGCTAAAGCTAGAATAAACATTATTTTTCACAGAGCTTAACTCTGGGAGGAGAAGGTAACGTATAGCAGCTCCAAGAGGTCAGGAAGAGTGAAAAAAGTGTGAGTGTGCTTGTGCACGTGTGCGCGCGTGGCTCTCACGTTAGACAGAGGGAAGCATTATAGTTTATCATCTTCGGGCGGACGTCGTGACACGGGTAAAGGTTGAAAGTTCAGAACACAGTCAATGCTTAATTAAAATGGAAATGGAAATAATGGCCCCGAAAGGGCTTCTGGGGGCTGAGAGATGGGAAGGGGAAGCACATAAATTACTTAGGGTCATCCACGTATTTGACCGTTGTCCTGTAGGTCCATGACATTAAAATACCAGAGGTTTTTTTTTTTCCCCATTTTGTTTTGTATTAGATGTTGCTTTAAAATAAGTGGAAAAACAGAGTTTTGAAAATCTTTTAATTGTTAAGAAATTGTCTTCTAATATTAACGTTTAATGTCAGTTTTTGGGAGAAAAGTGTTTTAGAAGAACTCATTGTAGAAATTGTGTGTGAAATAAAAAAATATATATATTTTGCATTTTGTTATCATTACATCAAGAATAGGCTTATCTGAATAAATCCCAGTGCCTCTTACTTGCCTGGGGGCTGATCTCAAATTAACATGTTCAGTTTGTCTCCTTTTTGTCATAAAATTGTATGGTTCATTTGCCAGCAAAAATACACGGTTATTCAGGAGAATTTTTTTTCCTACAAAGTATTTAAAAGGAATCCAAAAATTTTAGTACTTGTATATATCAATTTATTAGTAATCTCTCCTAACCTTAACTTAAGAAAATGGATATTTGGATGGGAGCAACATAGACCAAATGTTGTAGAAAAAGAATCTCTGCTGGATAATCATTCATTTCAAAATTCTACTTCTTTTCTTGCCAGTGAAATACGGGCTCGTGCTTAACATGCCTCCTTTTGTGAAGTAGTCATTTTTTTTTGACTCTGGGAAAGTTCAGATTCTACACATTAATATAAATTAAGTTCAAGGAACAGTTCTTTAAAACCTTACAATGCCTGGCACTACGAGAGTGCCAGTATAAAATCGGCACCCTGTCGGCTTTCACGAGGTCGCAGTACCGTGACGTCACGATGGAGCTTTCACGAGTACTGTGACGTCATAATGGAGCGGCAGAAAATTGTAAGAGTGTGCAGCGATGGGTAGATGAATTGGGAATTATGAGTCAGGGATGGCCTCCAGAAAGAGGGACCATCCGAGCTCGAGTTTAAACACCCGATTGGTAAATCTGTTAACATAAAAATGTAAAATTAAGAAAATCGATGTTCTGTATCGTTAATGGAGTGCGTCCAGTTTTTAAGACGTAGCGCTGATGTGACACGAGCTCAGCGCTCGGCAGCGCAGGCCATCCCGTGGCAACCCGACAGGGGGACTCGGAGTGTCCCGCAGTCCCTGCTGCCTTCCCAGCCTTACGAGGGCTGGAGCACATGTCTGTCTGTGTCTGTGCAGGAGCCCGGTCCTGGTCTTCCAGTGCAACCACCGCCACGTGATCTGCTTAGACTGTTTCTACCTGTACTGCGTGACGAGACTCAACGACCGGCAGTTTGTCCCTGACCCTCAGCTCGGCTACTCCCTGCCTTGTGTAGGTAAGTCTGGCACCCCCCGCCCCCGGCCCCCACCATGTTTCATGCTGATTAAGAGCAGAAGGAGAGTTAGTGATGTAAAACCAGCTTGGGTTATACCCGTTCCCTAGCTGAGGGGTTGCAAATTCAAATATCCATTTGATCATTGCTGGGCAAGAAACATTAATGTTTGGAGATAGATATATAGAAACACTAAGGTACGAAAGAACTATGTTGAACTAGAAAATTCATAAACTGCATAAAGGCATTGAAAATAAAGTTTGAAATATTATTCAGCCAAGGTACATAAAGTATGTCTGTGGGTTCACCCTGCATGTTATAGATTTATTACCCTGCATCTAGAGGAGCACTTCCCAGATTTTTAAATCGTGCATCCTATTGATAAAAAATTTGAGCACATATGCATATACGTGAAAGAATATGTATTAACAAAGAAATTAAAGAAGAATGAGATAAATATTTAAGATTTGAAATAACTTTTTATCTTTCAACATTTACAAAACATCCTTTATTTGCACTATATTATTATTATTACATATATTTTCTTTTAGTTTAGGTGATTCTCATAACATACAATTAGCCATTTTGATGTGTACGATTCAGTGGCATTTTGTAGATTCACGATGTTGTGCAGTGGCCACCTAGCTCTTTCTAGTTTCGAAATATTTTTATTTCTCCAGAAAAATAGCCCACATCCACTAAGTAATCCTTCCCCATCTCCTGGCAACCACATGGTCTGCCTCCGTCGATTTGCCAATTCTGGATCCTTCCTATAAAAGGAATCATGCAGTATGTGACCTCCTGTGACTGCCTTCCTTCACTTACCATAATGTTTTTGAAGTTCATTCAAGTTGTGACATGTATCTTCATTTCTTTTTATGGCTGAATAATATTTTATTATATGGATATACCACAATTTGTTTATCCGTTTGTTTGTCGATGGGCATCTGTGTTGTTTCCACCTTTTGGTTATTATGAATAATGCTACGTCATGTGGTAATTGTATGTTTAACCTTTTTAAGAACTACCAGACAGTGTTCCATAGCTGCTGCATTATTGTGCGTTACCACCAGCAATTTATAAGGGTTCCTATTTGTCTACATCCTCACCAACAGTTGTTATTTTTCTGAGTTTTTATTCATAGCCATTCCATTAAGTGTGACACGGTACCTCATTGTGGTTTGATTTGCATTTTCTTGATGATCAGTAATGTTGAATATCTTCTCATATGCTTATTTGTCACTTGAATATCTATTTGGAGAAATGCCTATTCAAGTCCCTTGTGTATTTTTTAATTGGGTTGATTGTCTTGCTGTTGTTGAGTAGAAAGCGTTCTCGATGTGTCCTGGATACTAGACCCTTATCAGATATGCAGATGTTTCTCTTATTCCGTGGGTTGGTGATAATATCCTTTGATACACAAAAATTTTTAATTTTGATGAAGTTCAGTTTACCTATTTTTTCTGTTGTTGCTTGTGCTTTTGGTGTCAGATATAAGAATCCAGTGACAAATCCAAGATCATGAAAATCCACCCCTGTGTTTCCTTTTAATAGCTTAGCTCCAGTATTTAAGACATTGACCCATTCTGAGTTAATTTTCCTGTATTGCGTGAGATAGGATCCCTACCTCACGATCTATTTGTTTTTAATGACTGCAGTATAAGTAAGTGTGCTTTATTGATTTTGAAAATTGTGGTTGGAAACTTTGTGATACCTGATTGAAGGGTCAAGTTTTAAGTTCCGTTTATTTCAATACTTAGTTTCGGTGTGTCGGAGCTGAAAATATATGTCAGAATTATTTCACAGATCCAGATGGAAGTAGCTAATTGCATTGTTGACTTGGGTTTTTTAATTAAGATTTACAAAGTATGCGTGCCAACATATTGTTAAGGAAAACTCTCTGAAAGGTGCTGTGCTTTCATCTTTTAGACAAAAGGGTTCAAAAGTCAGTGAAAGGCTCACATGAAGTTTGGAAGGCTGTGCTTCTGTTTTCAGCGTGGTCGTTTGTATGGATGAGCCCTGCCCCCTTCACTAACCTTGTTCTACGGACAAGGTCAGGGTTATGGACTATTCACTGAAAGTCACTAATCGCACAACTGTTGCTGCTGCTTCTCTTAGCAAAAATGTTCTTACTAAGTAACGTCAACGTCATTACTCATTTATCTTGTTACAATAAATACACAACAGTATCAGTGTTAGATACCAACACCATCACCAAAGTAAGGGTACTGAAAACAATGTTAAGATGTTTGCAGTTTGTCATTAAGATATATTCCTATAGGGATATAGACTCGTGTGCCATTACTGTACAGTTATGTCACCCATCACATACATATTTTATTTTCCTTTGAATTGCTTTTCATATTGATTTTATTTTTAAAATTATGGAAAATATTAACATAATTTCAAAGTCAAAACAAGTTACATTCAAAGAAATAGAGATTTTATTCCCATTCTTTTTAATATTTATTTTCTTCTACCATGCATAAAACTTTATTTGAAAAGTCTCCCATTTTAAAAACACGTAAACAAATTACCTATGATGTATATGTCGATACAGATTCATGTCACCCCCTTGTTAAGTAGAGAGTGGGGGTACTATGCATGTTTTTCTCCATTTTGCTGTTTCACCCACTCTACATTATACATTATTTTCTGGAGATCACTCCCTAGTAATATATGAAATTTTTCCTCTTAAAAAAATACCGTCATTGAATTCCACTGGGTGTACATACCTTACTCTTTCTTTATTGGTGCACACTTAGTTTTCATTTTTTTTTTACTACAAATATTGCCACAACTTATAGACTTGTGTGCACACATATTTTCATAATTTTGTCAGAGTATAATAGGGATAGATTCCTAGGAGTGGGGTTCCTGTATCAAAGGGAAAAAATATATTTATCTCACCCTTTCCAAATTCCCCTCCCAACAATTGTGCCACTTTTGAGTCCCACCAGCAACGTATAAAAGCAGCGTTTTCCCAATGCCTCACCGACAGAGTAGTTAAAAGACTTTGGGATTTCTTTCCAGTCTTGTAGTTGAGAACTGGTACTTCTACATAGTTATTTTTTTTTTTTTTCTTATTTTGAACAAGGTTGAGTTTCTTTCAAAAGTTTAAGGTCATTTTGCATTTATTTTTCTCAATCGCTTAAAAAATATTACCTTCAAGGGACAGGTTAAGTGAATATATTGAATATATTATTTTTTCAACAATATTTTGGATACAGCATACTATCGACAGTTATTTACAGTCGCAGGAAAGGTTAATAAACTCGAATCCTTTATATTTTTATAAAGAATGTATGTAAACTACCTTCCGTTTTGCTAGTTCTTTGCCACAGGACAGCTAACAACTTCTCTGTTAAACAAAAGATCGGCAGGATCACGCTCTACCTCATTAAAATGCGTTATATGGATTGTAACAGAGGTTAGTTATCTTTTAAACACTTCTTTTTAAATTAACCTTGTCAAGCCTTAGAACCTATGCTTCATGGCTGCAGTTCGTTTTCATAGGGAGTGAGGCAGGGAATGCATGAATTTTACATGTGTTACCTTGTGGGGTTTTTTCGGAATTTTTAAAAATAATTTTTGTGACTGTACCTACCTCATTACCGGTTATTTAAACATAATGCTGCCCAAAGCCTTGCTTTTATTTTTTAAAATGCCACTTACTATTATCTTCTCTGGTATCTCTTTCCTTGAATGTCCCACAACAATGAGCAGAATCCTGCCTATTCAGGTACTTTGTTATTCAGACCTCTTTGAATAACAAATGACCACAAGCAGAGGCAGGTTAGAAACAACTGTGCCGTCATTCAACTGTGTCATAAGCCTCCTACACCACATGATTTATTGCAATACTTATTTCTTACTATCTTCAGCAGTTTTAATATATATTGTCATCTCCCCTTATCTGCGGTTTCGCTTTCCAAGGTATCGGTTATCCCTAGTCAACAGCGATCTGAGAATAGTCACTGGGAAATTCCAGAAGTAAACGATTCGTAAGGTTTACCTTGCACACGGGTCTGAGCAGTGTGATGAAATCGGGCCCCATCCCACCCGGGCCCGTCAGGAGGTCGGTCAGCCGCCCACCCACTTAATGGTCGTCTTGACGGTCAGAGCGACTGTCACGGTGTTGCACTAGCCCGTTCTTGAGTCCGGGTCACCCCTATTTTACTTAGTAACGGCCCCGAAGTGCATAAGCGGTGATGCCGGCATTTTGGGCATGTCAAAGAGAAGCCACAAAGTGCTTCCTATGAGTGAAAACGTGAGTGCGGTACAGTAAGATAGTCTGTCAGACAAAGAGAGAGCGCACACGCCTAATTTATAAATTAAACTTTATTGTAAATATATACATGAAAAAAACATAGTATGTATAGGGTTGTGTGCGGGTTCAGACATCCCTGGGCGTAAGGAGGACCTATTATATTCCAAAAGTACTCACTCATCACAAAATATAGTTCTGTTTGTCACAATGCTATTTGTTATGTGCTGTTTCAGGCTTTATATTTTTTATTGTGACTCGAGTTATGTTTTCCCCATATTGTGTGAAAAGAGACATTCAGATGTTGTAGAATGTTTTTAATAAAAAACAAGCTGGATTGTCCTCAGTCTATGCTCAACAGAAACACTCTTCTCATTTAGTACTGGCTTGATTTTTAAATGTCTTGCTAAGCGTAATGGCTTCACACCCTCCTTAATTTATATCTCAGGGCCTGTCATGCACTCAAGGTGAGGTTCACTGTCAGGGATAATGGCACCTCACTTTGTCAGTGCCGTCATTTTCTCTTTTGGCCCCTGCTTGCTTTATGAGTACTATCTTGAATTAATGGTTTCTTTGCAGGAACCTTGAATCTTAAGTCACTCATGTGTTATAACAGTTAGTTAAAAGAGATAATCTATCCATAATTTTTTTAGCCAAGCACAGGTAATCCGAGAAAGGGCTCTAACAAGAGAGGGCCCCACTCCCCAAGTCTCTGTTGTAGGACGCCCACTGTCCT